GCTCACCAAGTGCATCGCTGCTTTTCAGTTTGTCCGCAAGGTATCGGGTGAGCAGTCGACGGAGCTCTGCACTCTCGTCCTCCACCAAGGACTGCTCAGAATGTTCAAGAGAATATAGCTTGCTTTTCTATTTCCGACTTGATTCCAAATACAAATTTAATCAACTCTGTGGGTTAAAAAGAAGCAAAGGAAAATTCTGGACGGTTAAATTTCTTTTTACTAATTTATGAGAATTGTTATAAAATTTATTATTTTACTTACTTACTTTTTAATACATTAAAAAATTATGTATAATTAAATTTAAGAGCAGTTTAGCAGTAAAAGTTAAATTTACCAAACCTGGATAGTTAATATTGGACATGGCGCAAGTGTTAAAATAAAAGTAAGTCAACACTAGAGGAAATAAAAATTTAAAACCGGGCCCTACCTCGCATAAATATAAAATGAAAAATGAATGTAATTTTCTCAATGAATATTTGCAATTTTTTTTACGGTTTGAACTCCAAATTTTAGTTGCAAATTGCGTTTATTCTATCATAAGTTACTCCCCATTTATCTTAGCACCAGGTTTTATTGTTAGAGGCAAATAAGTCTGTTTTCTTTGATTTAAAAAAATGAAGTACATAATTTGTTTTTTGATTGTTTACTAAGCAATTGATTTTTAATTTAAGAAGCCATCTCAAATATACCTAAATATATTCCTTATATAGTCTTTAGCAATGACGAAAGCAAGCGAAGTATTCTTATTTATTCATTTTTTAATAAATAATAAGAAAATGATTAGTAGGGGAAAAGTACTATAAAGTGAATAAAAGCAAAGTCAAATTGTAATAAAATCTAAATAATAAAATTATAAATATAAAATTAATAATTGAATAGAAAAAATAAACATAAATTATAGATACTTTTTAAAATTTAAATGATAAGAAAATTAAAATATTTAAAATTTTAATGTTTTTTTGCAGATTTTAATAATATTGATATAGTTTCATTTCACGCTATAAGGCATTGATCTCTTCTTAGCGTTTTATTTCAAAACTTCATCCCTTTCTAAATTAAAATAAAATCCAGCTCGAGCCAGAGGAAAAGTGGCTCTAGTTGAAAGTAGGCTGTGTGCAAACCACCTACAGTGCTCTCGTGTTGTGTTTGAGCTTCTGGAAAACCGCAAACACCTTTGTATTTAGCGTTGTTTGTCTTTCACTCGCTTACCCCCAAGGGCTGCGTTTGCAGCGGACAGTTCGCAATAACAATTTCGTCTCGCCCAGAAAATACAACATTCGCGCAATTTTTCTTTCTCTCCTTCCCCGCAGCGAGTGTGGAGATAACAAAGTGTACTTTTCACTTAACCGTATAAATACAAGCTCGCACGTTTCGGAAAGTCCGGACTGATAAATTATCAACCATTACTCAAATCGCTCTCCAGACGAAATTCGCGCACGGCGAAAAAGTTGATTACCATACTGGGTGCGTAACGATCGCAATTTCGGCGCGCGCACGACTCCATTTGAGCGGATAATCGCACCGAAGTTGAATAATTCATCCTTTTAAGGCCCCACCACTTTTGCTCTCAAGGCAGGAATGTTGCAATCAGGCCAAGTAATTAGCATGGATTGTTTGAGAGGCTCGCGCTGTACATCGTCAAGGTGTGTTACGCACACAAGAGGTTAAACTAATAAGAAAAAACTTTAATACTTTTTTATTTTTAATTATATAGCATTGAGACCTTGCGCTAAAATAAAATAAAAAATGTTAAATTTCGTGCAAATTTTGTTCAATTTTTTTTTATTTAATTAAAATTTTAACTAAATTTGGCCAGGTTCGACACAAAATTCAAATGTAATGAAAATTTGGGGTTAAAAAGAATGTGATTGGTCATGTTTTCACTAATTTTTCAATATTTGGAGTATCTTTTTAAGAAAATTAATTATTTTTTACTTTCTACTTTTTCTATTTATAAATGAAATATGAACAATTTTATTGTATCAGCTCGACATATAACCAAACAAAATTAACTATTTTTTCTATTCTCAGTTTCTTTGCATTTTATATTCTTGTGACTTTTCTTTGAGATTAAAAAAATCATTGGTCTTCATCAAATATTTAAGACTTAATCTGGAAAAAATTACTTACTTAAATAATCCTTTGGTCGAGATTAAATTTCATCATTTTTAGGGAAAAAATCCCCAATTATTTCCTGCATGTGCTTAATTTAATTATTTGAACACAAAAATTTTAATTTTTTGGTTGTGATTATTATGAATGAATCTCTCTTTTTACTATCCAAAGTTGACACACAATATTTTCACTGTCGGACATTCAAATTAGCCGATCGAGGCCAAGCGAGCCGCTGCTGCCCCGGATAATTACCAAGTTGTGCACTTTGCGTTTTGTTTACATATCAAACGCGGCGATCGCCAACGCCGAGCGACGGTGCATGCAAATCTAAGCTTGCTTGTATTTAAAATTGGGCGAGCGCGGCGGGCCAAGGACCTCTCTGGCCGGCCAACTCTTTCCCTACTTGTTCCAAACACACTCCTCGTTCGCACTCCTCTATAAATAAATAATTCACATCCGCCTTTCGGCGCACCGAGAGCGTCGCTGGAAAATAAATAAAAATTTCCCATGCACATACTTTTGTGTTGATTGAATTAGCACTGTTGGCGAATCTGCAGCAGTGCAGATACAAATTTTCGCCGGCGAGACCAATTTGCCGGTCTTCCTCGCCCCGACGCTTCTTTCCTTTGCAAAGCCTTTCAATTTAGCTGAGGCGAATTGGGCAGAGCTCAACTCTATCCTCGGATCAGACGTTTCTGTGTTGTTAAAAGCTTTTTATATGACCCGGGATAGTTTCTTTGTGCTGCAGAATGATTTATTGTTTGTTTGGACGATTCAGAAAGTCGATCAGTTTTACACAATTTATATGATTAAATATTTTTTTGTGATTAAATAAATGTTTTAATATAAGATTGCTTCAAAATATTATGAAAATAATTTAATTCCAAAAATTGCTATTTACAAATTCACTGTCGAGCAATATCAATAAAATTTAATTTAAAATCTGGATTTTTTAAAGCACATTTTATTACAATTATTACTTCATTGCTTGAATAACTGGAGTGAAACTAAATTTAAAAATATAAAAAGTGATTCAATTATTAATTTTGTTTAATAAAAAAGTAAACAAACTTGTTCAGCTCCAAATTGCCTGGTTCTAAATTATAGAACTTAAATTAAAAAATGAATAGCTGTGAAACTAATGAAATGCTTTATAATTTACTCTGAGAATCTCTCAAAGCAATGAAAATCATTTAATTTTGGTAAATTGAGTATTTTTTGTTTGTTAAATTTTGAAAGTTTTCAAGCTCATTATCATTATCATTTTTTATTTTATAATTTTTACTTTTCCAGTCCAATTATTAATGCAGTAGATTTCTTTTAATAATTTCCTTGTTAATGATGTTCAAAAATTTGAAAAATTTACTATTACCCTCATCAAGGTAATAATGATTTTCTCAACTCCCCGAAATACGACAAAAATTAGATCAACATTAATACTACAAAGTACGTTTTTTTATTATTTGATAAAAATGAAAAAGGTCGGGACTTCCTTCATTGATAGTATTAGATTCAGGAAAACAATTTATGTTTGTAAACAGCTAATGAAAAAATTATTTACCGAAATAATATATTAATAAAAACAGATCAATCTTCCGCCCTGTCTATGTACTTTGAAACTTTCTCGAAGCTTCAAACCTGCTTAACATTTTCAAGAACATTCTATTCTCTCCCGACTATGACTCTCATGATTAGTACAAAATCTATAAAACTCGCACCACCCCTGGGTTTGCCATTGAAATTCTCCAAATTCAGGACCAAACTCAACCGGTATCGGTGGCGCTATCTTTTGGCCACTTGGCAAACTTTACTCGAAAATAAAAATATTTCTCTTCCAACTGTCAAATCAAAATTTTGACAAATCCTTCCCATTCCGACGAAATTTTGCTATGGAATAAAATTATTATTTTTCTTAAATAATTTTTGAATCTGTTTATATTTGGTTTAACTGTCATTGAAAGAAAGTGCGTAGTTTTTGCTAATAAGGGCCTTCCAAAAAAGGACTTAACGATTTCCGTTCAAGGCTGTACAATTCATTCCGAAAGCGGTTTTTACGTTTGAAAATGGAAATTTCGGATTTTCATTTTTCATCTCCGGCTTTTTCAAATGCTAGGGAGGATCTGAGTTTAATTAGAAAACGGAGCGTCGGTCTGGAAAAAAATTCGTGCGAATCACGGCCGGCGACGCAAAAACGGAATTCGCGAATCTTGCTCGGATTGGTGCGCACTCGGACATAGCAACAGATGAAACCGCATTTGCCGCATTTCGGGCGTCCCGAGCGTCCGGAAAACGTGGCCGAACCGAAGCGGCGACATTCACGGTTCGCGCCGCGGGAAAGTGCATCGCGTCGGGCGCTCGCGACCAGTGGAAAAGTTGCATTTACTCACCCGTTGAGGCTCTTCCCGCACAGCCGCCATGGCTGCCTCATCGCTAGCTGACGAGAGAGGGCGACGCGATCGATCACTTTGCGCCCTTTTATTTCTATTTGGCGCATTCGTTAGCGATTTCGGCTCAGCCCTGACGAATCGCACGGATAGAATTAAACTGATTTATGAATATTTTGTTACCTAAAGGATGCTACCCTCGGTTTAAATCGGGAAAAACAACCACTTTCTAACTTTACAAGGTCGAAGATGTATGCAACCGGCGGTACATGCATGCCCATTATATTGCATGACTCTCAGGAGCTATCATTTATTTTTTGCGAGCACAATTCAATTAAAAAAAAAAAACAGATTTAACTGCATTTAATTTATAATTTAAAACAGAAATTGAAGTGCAGCAAAAACTTTCAGGAAATATTTCCATATTTGGTGTAAGTTTTAATTCTTCTTGGAAATAAAGTTTTAGTAATACTAAATATTTTATGACTGATTTTACGTGATTTTAATAAGGTTTCAATCTGTTAAAGATCAATTTAGAATGTAATTATCACAGTTTTTTTATACTAAAGCATTCGTTATTAACAGAAATCTATTTTAATGCGAAAAATACATTATAGAAATTATTAATTACAAAGTATAAAATCAAGAGTCTTCTTTTCTTGTAAATTTAAGAATTCTCCGTCTCCTTATATCTGTAACAGAAATGAACAAATTTTTAACAATGACTTTTCCTTAATTGATCTACTTAAACATTAAGCTATGGTGGCCCAATTAAAATTAAATTTTTTTTAATAAAATCAACTATGTATGTATTCAATTTTTGTTTAAGGAATACTAAACTAAATCTTTTTCAAAATTTTAGTGACCAATATTGCAAAAATAAAAGTAACATTGATATATTTAGATTAAAATTAACTTTTTCTTTAAGTAATTTTTATAAATAATTAAAAAAAAAATATAATGACAATTTCACCTAATCAAAATCATATCGCCATCAATTTAAATTATCAAACTATGTATTCAAAGGATACATCAAACTGTAAGTTATAAAATTTCTTATAATATTATAAAAAGTGCTACTATATATCAATAAAATACATACAAAAATATTTCCTTGCAACCGATGAGATGTTAAAATTATATTTTTATGCTTATACTCACTTGCATTTAGTACAGGTGTAGAAAACAGTTTGACCTTCATCGGCAGATCTGAGCTGCAGGGTGGCGTAGGACATGACGTCGTTTCCACACTTGGGACACTTTCTTTCAACGACGGGTCCCTCGGCTTCGGCCGCAGCATGTTTCCTTTTCTTCTTCCTCTTTTTCTCAGTTTCCAACTGATCGGCGTCAACAGAATTGAAGTGAAGGACGTAGTGAACCTCGTTTGCATCCAGTTCTGTTGAGAATAATTTTTTTTTATACATAGAAAGCAAGGAAAAATAATAATAAACAAAAATCTAATTCATACCATCAACAGGGTAAGACTTGGTGCAGGTGTAGCAAGTCAAGCCACCGTTTGGCTGCAACACCGGCATGATTGAGCCGCACGAAGCACAAAAGTCCATATTTGAAATCGGAGTTGTCATGATGAAATTCAAATTTATATACAAAACATATACAAAAGCAAACTCAGAACCAAAATTATTTGGCTTGAAGACAGGCACGTGTGGTCGTCCTTAGGTGAGGTTTCATTGGTCAGGCCACGCCCCCTTTTCTGCGACATTCGGGACTTCTGGTGTACGGTTGGCTACACTGACGATAACATCAGCTGCTAAAATAACATTGGAATTTTGCAATTCGTGATAATATATCGAAATAAAAAAATTTTGGCCTTTATTATCTCTGCAGTTGACAGGTTTATCGTCGAAATTTGCAAATCTTTCACTGAATGGTGTAGTTTTTTTGGAAAATCTCGAGAATCTCGCTTGAGACGAAACCACATGTGCGAGGAATAAAGCTGAGCGTTTGGGCTAAAAAGGTAAAGAAAAGGCCGAATTGGTTGTTTTTAGGTCAAGACCACGCACCTAGTAATTATCAAAATCACTCCTCAGGCGTTCGTCCGCAGTCGCAATGCTGGCAAGTCAGGTCGCAGGCCGTCTGGCCCGGATGCAATTGGCCAAGAACTCTGTCCACCGAGTCCTTGGCGCCAACACTTACACCACTCTTCAGAAGGTTTATGTCCTCAGACGAGACAGCGATGGACTGGCCGCCAAACGGTTCCAGTTCAGGCGGGAAAACAAGGACTTTGGGCACAGGCCGGATAAGACCCCAACATTTACCAAGATTTACTTGGCCATGATGGGCTTGCTCATGACTGGAATTCTCATCGATTACCCACTGCAAGATTTAATGAAAATTTTAATATGTCATCTCATTACAATGATCTTTATATTTATAGTATTGCAAAGACGATTTACCACAAGTTCTTCCCCAAAGTGGACGCTGCCTCTCAAATTGAAGTCAACAGGGCCGACGAGAAAGAGCAGAACGGAGAGGAACACGGAGAGCACGACGAGGGAAAGAAAAAGAAGAAGAGCAGGGAAAAGATTGGGTTCAGGGATAGAAAAGTGAGTTTAGGGTTTTAGAGTTGCAGAAAATATGGAATATTTCATTTTAACGCCTAGATAATGGAGTACGAGAACAGAATTCGACTCTACTCCACCCCTGATAAGATCTTCCGATATTTCGCTACGGTTAAATTGGGTAGCAATTTGGATGGGGAAGTCCTCATGACACCCCTCGATTTTATCAGATCCCTCTTGCCAGGCATGCTGCAGCCAGAGGGTAGGCCCAAATAGTGTGCATTTTTGTTGTCCAGTCAACGATTTTGAAATAATATTGATTTATAAATGGGTGGTTTGGTTTTTATGTTCCATTTGTCAATAACAGGCATGCTATTTTGAAACTCGCTAATAGACTTACTAACTGCTCTAAATTTTTGCATTTTATTTTATTGATAAACCCTCATGAACAAAAAATACAAAAATTCTACTAACAAGTAATGGTATTGAGGTGAGACACCCCGATTTTGATGAAAATTTGTGTACAACTTTTACTACCCATTGGTACCCCAGGTACCCCAGAATGGCTATTAATTTTTGCCCAATTTCCCTTGTTCAAGTTTTGCCATTTAAACTCCATGTTATTTGAATTACATTGGAGAAATCGAAAGTATGCAAAATATATACACAGAGGACGCTTTTGTTGCCTACATTTAATCGTTTTTAACATGCGTTTAAATGGAAACTACCAACCCCTGTGAAATTGGGCAACTTTTGATAGCCATTCCTGAACACCCAAGGGTAGTGCAAGTTGCATACCAACTTTCATCAAAATCGGGGTGTCTCATCTCAATAACATTACTTGTAAGCATAACAAGAAAAAAAAATCAAGATTCGGACTCTTTAGGCCATAACAATTATTTTAATTAAAAAAAACCCTTCACAAATTTGCTCATTGTGTTTTCTTGCATGCTGTTTGTGTTTTTATTAGATAATCGAGTATGAGAACCGAATGCGCCAATACTCAACACCTGATAAAGTGTTTCGCTACTTTGCGACGTTGCAAGTGTGTCACCCGAATGGAGATTACGAGGTTTTCATGACTCCTGACGATTTCCTCAGGTCCATGACCCCAGGCTTGAAACAACCTGATGGTACTTGCTTGAAAGCTTGCAGCTTTTAGCATTTAAATTAGTATTGTGTAAATGGTGATGCTAAATTTTGAAATTTTTCTAGGTCTTGGCTTGGACCAGTATAAGAGATACGACCCCAAGGTATGAGATAGATGTTTAAGTGTGGCTTCTCACGTTTCACTCAAATCTTATTGATTAAATGTAAATTCTCTACTGTATAATCGCCTTTTAAATCGTTCAAAAAAAGTTTATGACTTAATTACAATTTTCTAAATCTCAACGTCTATTCTGATGTTCTGATTGTAAATATAATATATTTCACTTTCTCTCCTTCTTCGAATGCCTTTTTGTATTTTGCGACTAACAAGAAACTGCTGACTAATCTAAATCTGTCAAAATATGTGATTCGTCTCCTCCATTTCTCTTTCACTGAATGCAGACCCATACTGAGGTATACTAATCTCCCGTTTTCTAAGTCTACTAAATCTGCTGGCATGAGTTTTTGATTGAAAACCTGAATTTTTCGCTCTATATATATTCGCCATCACTCGTCTTTTCCGCACCTTCAACTAAATCAAAGAACATTCTCCTTTTGATCTAAATCATTTTGAGTTCAATCTTCGGCACGCATATTTTGGATTAAAACTATTAGATCTGCCATTGCACCTGTGAGGTTTTTGCATGGTCTCTTTTGGGGGGATGTAAATATTTAGTCTCTAGCCATGATAGTTTGAAAAGTATTAGCCCAAATAAAGGTTGCTTTTGGTGATTGGGAGGATTTGCTGCAGCACTTGCGAGGATTTCTTTGTATAAATTTCATTGGAAATAGCTCATAATCATCTTCTAATGCCCTGTCCAGAGTTGCTGATAAATTATTATTTGTTTAAAAGATATCACTGTTCATTTCGTTCACTTATTTCTATTACAGACGATGACAATTGCAACTGCAGCTGAAGCTAGTGTTAGTATTTTCATTTCATTCCCATTCTACATTGTTATTCTTTTTAGAAAAATTTTGCACTCCAAAATTAATCCAGAATTTTTAAATCTGCATGTAGCTCTTCATTGGATTTTTTGCCTTTATCAAAAATTTAGCTAGAGACAGATTCATAATTTGGGTGTCTTTCAAGATTTTTTTTTCATAAAACTCTTCAAATAAAAGTCTACAGTTAATTCTTGTGAGTTAATTCAAAATTCTTTATTCAGAGTATGCACAATAAACTGGAGCTGGAACTGGAAAAAGACAGCATTTTCTACAAACTGGGCAGTTCTGGCCTCATCACCTTCTCGGACTACATCTTCCTGCTCACAGTCCTCTCCAGTGAGTACAATCTCTCTTTTCATTATCACGCTTTGGATCGATGTTTGGTATCAAGTATAGGGTAATTTGAAATCACGGAAGTTTAACGTTTTTGCCAGGTGTCGTGTACAGTTTTCGCGCTGTGAGCTTCTAAGCCTATAGTGTGTTTCGTTTTTCGAGAACTGCATTAATTTGAAAGTTGCGTCGCAAGCAGTCTTTTTTTTTAATATGCTCATTATTAAAACTCTGAACAACTTAACTTTAACTTTTGGCTGCTTATATAGTAATAATTATTCCTGCTAAACTTGCGCTCGTTATAGTTCACATTCACGTCTACATTTAAAATTACAAGCGAGACAAACCATTATATATAAATAAGACAAAAATTCTTTTCTGAAAAGCTCGTATATCAAAGTAAAAATATAGTACGGTGCCTTAACAGCTAGACTAGGTCATTATTGAATTGTAGCTGTGCTGTAGGAAGAATACAATTACACAACGTGTCATTCGCGATAATTGTCAACCTTCTCGAATCCCAACAGCAAAACATTTCCCTCGAAAAACCCCAAAATCCTCAAAACGCTTGTCGGCAATGCTCACTCAAAATTTTCAACCCGAGTACTTTATAAAAATACAACAATAAGTACACATTTATGCAACAGTGTAGTTGAAACACGAGGAAGATCAGGGAATGATTTATTATTTATAATATATTTTCTCGCTGCTCCGGATATACAATTAGAGATATGAATCGTGATCAACATTCAATAGGTAGCCTCTCTCACTTTGCCCGTTTCCCGAAGGAGTCATTTCTTTCGTAAGCCCGCGATCAAAACTTTGCTCGTTCGGTAAATCAATCACAGCACTTTGTCACTGTCTCGTCCGCACAACCATTTCGTGTGAGATGAATGAACTTAATTTTGAGAGAAGTTAACGTGCGCCTCGCTCTTCTTCGCCTGCCGCGTTATTTGAAAAACGATCTTTCCTTCAATTGTAGTAGTAATCGCGCTTCTTCTCGCACCTGGCGCCGCACACGTACTTCCAGAATTCCTGCAGTCGTCATTTGATGCCCGGCTCCGGTTCTTTGATCATTCGGAAGTACTTGTCCGCGTCGTAGCCGAACATGTCGAAATCGATCCGGTAGATGCGGTACAGGGCCATCAGCTGGTCCCTGCTCAGTTGACGGAAGTAGCGCTCGAGCAGCTCGTTGGTCGGCGCGCCCCGGGCTTTGTTCAGGGCCTCCCGATGGCCCCTCCGGCCCAGGGGAAGCTCCTCGGCCAGTCCGGCGTGTCTTATCACATACTCTTGATCTCTACTCAGGGTTTCTACTTGAGCAATCACGGTGAAATTCACCTGAAAATTAAATTGTTAAAAATTGAAATTACCTTTTTATATATAAATTTCAACTTTTGAAAAAGTAAAAAAAAATTATAATTCACAAAAAAAAATCAATATATTTTTTTAAGAAAACTCGATTTTAATTAGAAATTAAAAAGACATTTTTCCGTGAAAATACCTGACAAGGTGTGCAAAATCTGTAGTACGGAGCCCAGTGCTCGTCCGGTCTTTCAGAAGTATCGACCACATGCGTCACAAACTCGGAGAAACTAGGCCCTTTCAGTCCCTGGTACGGACTACCAGGTTTCCTATACCTATGGATAATCTCTTTGCAAAGCTGAAATGTCACAAAATTATTAATATTTAATTTTTTTTCTAAATATTCAATCCAACCTTTCTGTAGAATTTGTGCCGGAATGCTTCGATTTTGTTCCTGTAAGCAGAGAGCAGTCGTTCGAACGGGTCGCGGACGATCATGAAAGACAAATAGGAGGGCAGGGCCTCGCGGAGTTGGGCCGAACTGGGCCGCGGAAAGCGCGACCTGGCGAGCACCAGTGGCGTTTTTCGAGATCGTTTCAGGTAATCCTCTTTATAGCCGGCTGCAACACACAAAGCGGTGATTTATTAACAAGGGGTGAGAGATTATTTTTAGGAATTTATGTTTTCTTTCTTTGGGTGGAGCTCTTCCTGAAGTGCGTAGAGAAAGGGGAGAGTTTTTTTTTTTGTCAGAGCGCATATATATAAATCTGATTTATGAATTTTCCCAACGCAATAACGGTAAAAGCTCTTCTAAAGAAAATTTCGGCCCGAAATTAAAATGCAATCATCCGAAAAACCCGCCAGTCATTCGATTTGACAACGTCTCTCTTGTACATTTTTATTTTCAACTCACCGAGCAGATTAAAGTTGTACATCCACGTTGAGCTAGCCGCCTTGAAAATGTTGCACCAGACTAGATGGTGCTTGTGGTCGATGAAGAACTCCCAGGCGTTGGGCTCGACTTCGCGGTCGAGGCCGGTCGCTTCGCACACCTCGTGCACACGTTTCCGTCGCTTGGCCAGTTCTTCTTCCAGCTCTTCCACGTCGTAGTCCTCTATGGGGGCGCCTTCCTCCTCGGGCGAATGCTCGGCGGCCACCGGACCACGCGTGCTCTTCTTCGGAATGTCCACTTCAAGGACGGCGCGCACCTCGCGGTCATCGGGCAGTGTCGAGGATGTGCTCTGAAATGAAAAATTTCAAATTTTTAGATACATCAAAAAAATTTATAATAAAAATTATACAAATAAAACTTTAAAAAAAGATAAATTTTGTGCCTATATTAATTTTAAGTTAGGATTTTTTGTAATGAACAATTTTTCAATTATTCTTCCTTTTTTTAAAGGGATTAGTATCACCTCGGCTGTTGCGCCTTGTATAATTTTCTTATACATTTGAAGTGTGAATTTAATCCTCTTATGGTAATTCACCCCTTATTTACTTGAAGCCAATAAGAAGAAGAAAAATAAATCGCTGCGGTTGGTTGAACGACCAATAATTTTTGACAAACACCTAACATATTTTTCAGCTCGGTTGGGGTTTCACTACTATTATGCAAATGAAAACACGGCCGATATTCTCGCCGGCTTCTGGCCTGACTCCGCATAACAACGAAATATATTCGCGTAAATTTATGGTTCTATTAATAAATCGCTGAATAAACTTGACAAACGACTAGCAGAACACATTCACACACACAAATGAATGCCAAGCCATGCGATCTCTATTTTTGTGAATTAAATTCCGCGCTCGGCATTAATGCAGGGCAACATTTCATTCGATTAACAACGCGCGTTTTACGGGCTTCTTGTTGCCGCGCGTAGGTGTATATTAAATCGTAATCTCGCTCCGCACCGGCGCAAAATTATACACAATATAATAATGTTCCGACTCGAGATGCGACGCAGATCCCTGCTTCTTTGAAATGACAAGCGCATAAAAAATTCGCGGAGATATGAAGTTTCCATTGGAGCACGCGAAGTAAAATAAAAAAAAGGATCCGTGTGTGCGCCTTTGAGAGCGGTGCCAAAGCCGCGTCTTTTTCGTACATCTCGTCGGCCAAAAAGCGCAGGCAGGCGGCGAATTCCACTCATTGTGAGCACCAACGAGGATTCTTTTTGTCTGATATATACATTTGTCATATATAATTCAAAAGGAGAAACAGAAGAGAGTTGCTCTTTCTTTTTCTCGGAAAAGCGACAGACGCTTTTTATTGATGGATCACTTCTGCAAACAGATAAAGAAAAAAAATATAATCCGCAAACTTCTCTCTCGCGAGGAAGGAAAAAATCTCCACGAGTGAGGAATTGGGCAATATTTTCTTTGAAATTTTCCATCGGCTGGAAATGCCTGTGCCACATGTGGCACTTGATGGAAAAATTCATTTGCCCAAGTGTGTTTTCAGCGGGGAGAACTCATGCATGGGATATTGAAAAAGCGATCAATATCACACCCGCTCGCTCGCTCGCTTTTGCTTCCCTTCGTCGCCAGGCACTCTTGTGTTTTTATTTTTATTGGGCGGAAGTGCATTTTGTAATGAAAACACTCTCCGAGTGTGAACAATTGCTCGCTGACGTCGAACCGCCGCGTTGTATAAATTGTTTGCGGCCGAATGTGGCGTATGCAAATCGAGTCAATGCAAATGCGACGGGAGGGCACACATGTGCACGTGCATACTCCGCAACCCTGTGCGCTCCAAATTGAGTCTGGACCGCTGTCTGGCGTCATTAGGATGTGACTCATATTTAATTGGGGCACTAATTTGCATATGTATGTATCTGTGTGTTCACGCCGCTGGTGGTTTGAACTTTGAACCCTAGAAACGGGTGATGTAATTATCGTAATTATTATTCCTAGTTAAACTAATACGAAGTATTATAAATTTACTTTTATTTTGACTAGAAAAGATTAAAAAATTGATGCTTCAAATTAAATTGAAATATTTTTGTAAATTTAGACCCTTTTAAAAAAAAGAAATATTTTGAAAGTGCATATAATTTAAAAAAAAATATTAAAATTAAATTAATACAATGTTATTCTTTATTTTTTTATCTACTTATTTTCTCGAATATGAATCTTTACTTTAACTGCTATTTTTATACATTTTTTCATCCGTTCAAAATCCATAATCTTGTATATAAAATTAAATAATATGAACTTTATTATTGGTCTCAGCTTTTGAAGATAAAACAGTTGTTCTTAATTCTCCCAATATTAGCATAAAAGTCCGTCCTCAAACTTTCTCAAAGAACCAAACTCTGCGAAACTATGTAAAAACTCATTTTCATTCCGTTTCCTCTGAGTGGCCTATTTTCACCCCTTCCTAGTTGTTTAATTCGGTGCATAAATCTCAATGGAAGGGGCGTGTCGTCGTCAAAATTAGCGGCGCCAGTGCCGAATGCGGCGGAACCTGACCTGGCAAAATGTTTTGCAGCGCGAAACGCAGGGGGGTGAACCGGCAGTGGTGGTACACACTGCTGTCTCTCGCTCCGGCTCCTACTGTACCAGCAGAGATCAATATTTCCTCCACCACCAGAGCAGGCTCATAACATTTCTCGAGCCAACACTCGGGCGCGCGGATGCTGCGCGCTCTGCCCACCCGGCCTGGTGCTCTCTTTGCAATTACCCACCTCTTCGTCTCAGTCAGACCAACAACAAAACCAGTACAATCATTCGCAACGCTGAAAATCATCTTGCGCTTTCATCCCTCGCACTTCGTTTTCGCTTCATTGATCACCAGCTTGAAGCGCGAGAGAGGAAAAAATATATAAAATGGGCTCGCCCTTTTCCCCGCTCTTTGCACTCGACACGCTGAAATTGAATTAGGCCTCTGGAGTTGGAGTGCGAGGGTTGGAAATTTAATTCTAAGTTCGCACAAATAATCTGCCAAAAACAGCCCTGCGTACAAGTTGTGAAATGAAATGATCAACTTGCTGTATAACTCAAAACAACCCTTTTGCTTTGGAGAGAAGTTGCTGTTATTACTAATTGGACGCTGCCTTATTGTTTCTATAGAGACTTGAAAGCGAAATGCTGTTGCGAATGATCGTGTCTCTCGGCGAAGTCGGTTCACGAAATCGATAAAGTCGCGAGTCGTCGCCGCTCTCTCAGACGATGCCGAGGAGGAAGAAAGAAAAGTAAAATACAAATCCAGCTTGGGCAGAGCGATCTGATCAAACTTTGCTTTGCGCTTACCTAGGCAAAATATTTGTCAACGAGAGCCCCGTTTCAAGGAGCATAAGCAAACAGGCTTGTGTTTGGAGACAAATACACTTTAATGATGATAACACTGCCGAGACAATGGCGCGGCAAAAGGGACCCCTCTATGCCCGCACTTCATCAAGCAGCAAGATCGATCAGAAAAGGAGCAGAAGTAGATAAAAGAAGAAAAACCGGCGCTACTTTTGCTATTGATTCTATTACATACCAGAGGGTTTGGTTTTGCCAAAGCAGCCCTCTCGGCTAACAAATGCTCCTGAAATGACTTTTATCTCCACTCGGGTGATTGCTGGCAAAACTTGCCTCTTTCTTTCGATGTTTGCCGGCCTTTATCGGCCATGCCAGTGGCTTTCGTTTTTTTTTCTCGCTTTTCTTATACAACTGGATTTTATTTTTATCTAACATTGCGGTTGAACTATTAATTGATTCGGCTAATTCGCGGCCCGATCAATTATTCGTGCTCTTGGAAAAAGTTTTAATTGGCATGGCTATGCCAAACTGCGCGTCTCGCATTTCTGGACGACGTCACTCTCGGTTCATTGCAGACGCTTTTCAATAGGGCATCTCGCTTAGGCTTTGCAGTTGACGAGCCCCGGCGGGAGATCATTAAAACAGAAGCCCATATTTCATGCAAATTGCGCCATGGCCGGCTTTTTATAGAATGTATCCACCCGCCCGGCTGGTTTGAAAAGAAACTTTTCCCCCCATAAAATATGCAAAAAAAGAGTGTAATCTCAAGTGGGAAAAAATGCTTGTATATGCCCAGAACCTTCTCAACTAACGGGGAAACTTTGGGCATCAGCCCTATTTTTATTATTTTGGATAAAGCAAAACTTTAAACGTGCAAACTCTGAAATTTTTATGGTTTCCCGCTATATTTAAATTGCTCAAAAATAAAGATTTTACCGCTCTCTCTTAAATTTATTTGATTGTTTTCAATCCAATATTTAAAATTGCAGAAATGAAACATTTTTATTTTATTTTTATTATTTCAAGGAGAAAAAGAAACTTGAGAATTTTCTTGAGTCCTCCACTCAAGTATTATATAAAAGACGCATCTCATCCGTGCAAATAAACAAACTCACGCAATTCTTTTAATATCGATTTCTCTCATCTCTTATTCTTTGACGTCAGCGCAGACACACTCGTGCCGAGTGTGTGGTGTGTGTGTGCAACCCGCGGTTCTGCGCCCTTCGCCGTTCGTTCTCTCTGCAGAGAAGTCTAATTGTTCCGTAGCCTTTCTTTCTTCTTAAATTATGCATTCGCGTGTTCGATTGTTTGCGCGGTTCTCTCCCCTTTCCCTATCTGGGTCAGTTTCAGTCGAGATAATAATGCAGGAGCCAAAGAGCACCTTAATCAAGATAATTATGCAGAACAATGAAACCGCGAGATTAAATCTGTAACGCGTTGCACGCGGGGCGTCATCCAACCGTTGAGTTTCTATGCAGGCACACACCAAAATGTCATCAGTTTTTTTGTTTTGCGAGTGAGAGATGAATTGAAAATTATACTCGGTGTGTGTGTATCTCTTCGCACTCCACTTGTTATGTAATCCCGTCACGTAAAAACGCAGCTCACGGATTACGCCTCGGTTGCGTCGAGTGGAAAATGCGAGTGAGCAAACGCATTTCTAAAAGGTCCTCCTTTAGATTCAAATCTAGACCAAACACTTGAAAAATTAAATTGAATTGCGTGATTTTTTTGTGCTCCAAAAGCACACACCGGTTGCGCAATGTTCCAATAGATAACGATCGTCCCGAGTCCCATATGAAATTCCCACGCAAGCAGAGAGATGATTGAATAGAGAGAAAAAGGATTCGCCGCATTTGTTCTTGCATCGTTTCACGGATGACCGTGCGTTCAGCGCGTACAGGAATTCACATGGGTACCGTTTTGTCAACGGATAAAGCAAATGTGCGATACCGGAGCAATCTGTATAGAGAATGAGATTTTTAGTGGCAAAGAAAAAAAGAGGAAAATTGTTGGAACGAAAATTTCAAAGTTGCTCCAAAAGGAAATGGGTTGCTCTTTTTACTCAAAGCAGTTTATTTTTACTCCAACCTTTGTAAATATTTAAAAGTAAAAGCTTTTTAAGTATTTAGTTCTTTTTTTGGTAGAATTTCACATTCTACGATTGATTCTTGGTGATTTGAATTTCAAATTAGCTGCACCCATATTTCATGAGCTGTGAGATCATTTTTTAAAAGAATTAGTTCAAAAACCAATCTTTAAAAAAATATTTATTTCTTTCAAATTAACTCTTTTATGAAAATTAATTTAAAATTTTGTGATAAAGACTGTTTTGTGAAAAAATGTAACCTTCAAATAATTTTTCACTAAAAATTTTTAATTTGAAAGAAAAAGTTGTAAAAGATTGGTTTTTGTACTAATTCTCGTCAAAATGATTTCACAGCTCGCAAACCCCATGGAGGAAAAGCCGATTTGAATGGAGAATAAATAAAGATTAAATAGCTTTTAAATTCAAATCACCATATTTAGTTCTAAGCAAGGCTTTTTCTAATAGGGTTGTAAATTAACAAACCCTGCAATATTACTGCGAGAAAGTTTGCTTTGATTCATTATTAAATGAATTTTTAAAGGGTACAGAAGAAAAACAGAAATTGAAGTTCCGGAATGGTGGTTTTTCTTCTTACCTGCATCACTGGTAGATTTGGCGAGGGCGGCGTGGAAGTGTTGCTTTTGAATTCGGTGCCACCCGCCGAGTTGCTGGGGTGCAGGGAGGCATTATTCCTCTGGAGAACGGCCCTTCGGTGCTGCGAAGAGGCCACCTGCGGGTGGTGGTGGTAGAGGGGCAGAATCGAGGGTCGGTATTCGGCGTTGTTGGACGGTCCCTCGTGGAGGCAGTAGAGAGCCAGGCCGGCCAAGGCGACCAGAATGAGACGCGAGCGCGACCGGCACAACAGTCGTTTGAACGGGGCTCCTGGCGAAGAAGTCATTTCGAAAGGGCAACTCTTTCAACATTCCCTGCAAAACACACAGAAAAAATGCATCATTAAAAAAATCTCTTATCGTGTGTTCAGATAAAAAAAAATGGTCCCCGTCAGCAAAATACACCCAAAAGCAACAGGAGGAGATTTTTTCCCCATTGTTGCGGCGAGCACATATCACGCGAGTCACATTACGGCCGGTCCATAAGAGGTTGACACGCATTAAATCGTAATCTTTCGTGCGACGGACCCATTTTATCCCCAAAGTCAGCGTCCGGTCAAGCAGCTAATTGAATCATAAAATTTTACGACGACGGAAAAAATGATTATGCGGCACTGAATAAAGGACCATTGAGTGAAAAGTGCGTTCGGTCGGTGCCAGCCAAGGAAATCTATCAGAGTGAGAGGTTGGGTGCAGGAGCAAAAAAGAAAAGATGAGACACTTGGGCTAGGAGGCTTTTTGGAGCGGTGCCCGTGCGCGTTCGACTCATCAGCCGAGAATATTAAACGTGGTATCCATCACTCTGCGCAAATACCAATATTTATCCGGCCGTGCATCATTTTCTGAGAATCGAAGCAAAGGCGTTCCGACGACAGATCCATCCGTCCACTGCTTGTCGAAGGCGCTCACGTTGGCTGCCGTGAGGTGCTTTCGGAACGCGTTCAGCGGCTCGGAAATTTATGTATAGCGATATTCAATTGACGCAAAGAGAAGCCAGATTTAAAATCGCACACAAATCAAATTTGGAATTAAAATCGGTATTTGAAAAGCGGAAAAAGCAGGATTTGGATTTCATTATTGAACTCGAACGCAGATGACTACACGGCACGAAATGTCAAATATTTGAATATTCTTAATCTCGACCTAATTTGCCGCTGCGTACGTCACCAAAGTAATCTGAACAGATTAAACATACTAAATTAGGGGTTGTTAAAATTTTTGTAAAAATGGATACATTTATTGCAATTTTTTTTTATGTATTACAAAATAAATTAAAATCTAATTGAAATAAATTTTACTTCTACTGTAGTAGATTTTAAATTAAAAATTAGTTAGGAAATAAATAAGACTTTTAAATTTTCACTACATTTCTGCTTGACTTATTGTTAGGTTCAATTTGCCCCTTCATGCATGCTAAATCGGCTCAAGGGGCGAGTTTCATTGAGGGGTAAATACTCCAAACAAAGTGAAAATCAATGGCGAGACGGCGGGCGTCTTATTATGCTGACAGCAAAACAAATCAAGTGGACTCCATTCCGAAATTAACCCATTCTGCGTCACACGAAACGACAGCCAGCCCTCTTTCTCTCGTGCGCGCTTTGCTCAAATTGCCCTTGTTTTGCATGCGGCAGCGTTTCCTCCTCGCATGTTCGCCTGTCGTTTCGTCCGACGTTTCGACTTTGTGTGTCGTGCGCTTTGTTTCATAGCTGTGCAGAATGTAAATTCAAATGCGCCCCCTGCGCGTTTCCCAACCATATAAATAATATTTTTCGCACAAAACCTTCCGTTCCCAGTGGAATAAATATGATTCAAATTCATGTGATTCGCATTTCCTGCGCACTCATAATGAGCCTGGAGATATATTTAATTTTATAATTAAAGGGGAGGAAACTTTTCATAGGTAAATAAAAATGATTTATTTTAGATTTTCGTTTAACTTTCCGTACTATTTCAAATGTTTTAGGATGAAAGTTGAAAGAATTATTAACTTAAAGAATTTCCAGTACCCATGAGATTAATTCAAAGATGGCTTCCACTCAGGCAACTTTGAAAGTTTATCAATTTGTGACCAAAAGATTTTTTTTATACTTAAAAGATTTTTATAAGGTCTAATTTTTGCTTTTGACTCTCTTTGCTAAGATCTATCAAAAAGTCAATATTGAAGTTTCTATTTTCTGAAAGTTTTCATCCCCGTTCAACCCCTTTAAATGAAAAGCTCATTACTCATGCACGCACCTCGGGGCATGAACTCGTCGTCATTTCTACGCACCTTCCTTTCTTTCTCCGAAACAAACAATAATACGGGGCGCACTTGTAAGACACCTTACGATTTCCTCACACTCTCTCGTTTGCCAGCTGTTGGGTGCAACAGTACTCGACCTATGTCACTGAATTTCGCGCCGAGGAAGCCTTTTCAGTCGATTTCACATCAACTCCCATAAGAGCAGCGAACTCTTCCACGGCATAATTCATCGTCTTGGGTGCAATTTAATACTTGTGAGAAGGAGAATCGGTCGCGCGGGTGAACCTTAATTTTATTGACGGGGACGCTAGAATATATGTTGTTTCACCGGCTTCCTCCACAACATATGCTCATGTAAATTTCGCTGATAATTATTTGTTAAGTTTGAAAAGTAGATTTTGACCCTGATGTTGATTATTGGTATTGCAGGTAATCATAAAAACTTGGAAAGTATGAAATATAAACTAGAGGTTGGCTTCTTTCGTTTTGATTTTAAACTTTGATTAAAATTGCATTGTGCTAGACTTTTTTTAAATTTTTTGTGGGAATTTTTTTAATATCAAATTTAATTTTTACTATAAACATTAAACATTTTAAACTAAATTAACCTAATTAAACTGAAGTATTTATTACTTTAACAAATTATTTACGAATCAACTGTTTGAATTTCCACTGAACGGAAACAACTCTTATCAAAATGAAATCGATTTTATTTATACATAGCCAATGGAAAAGTGTTGTTCAACCGGAATGGATGACGTGGAATTTCAATTAGTGATTCGTGGTGTATATTTGCTTTGGGAAATGGTACCCAAAGGTCCGCTCTGTTTTTCCGGTTCATGTTATTTTAATATAAAAAAATGTAGCATTTGGATGAGAATGCTAACGCTTATCAGTTAATAGAAGCAACAACACTGGCAAATAATGGCCGACAAATTTTAATTAAGCCTCTCCGCAAAGCTGATTCCGTTGCCATTGCATTTGCCGACTGGCTCGGAAAAGCGGAACGCGTGAAAACAAAAAGCCAATTTCCAGCACGTCGCGTTTCTCGCGCTGAATTTCAATTTGGTGGCTGTCAAGAGCAGTCGTCCGGCCGGCCATCGATTTTCCGCGTACGGCGTATGTAAAAAAAAATGACCACTTTGCGTATACCGGAGCGTGAAGCATCACGGCCTGTTGATGCAAGAGGTTGCTAAATTGCAGGGGCGCATTGCTCGGGCAAACAATTGGGGAGGAAGGGCCGCGCCATCCCCTTTTACACGCATATGCCGCAAGGCTGATGGGCGTCCTCGCTTTTTACGACGCTCCAACATCATCATTTATTTTGCATAAGTGTCGCACGGTCATAAATCCCGGGCCGCTCTGCGGTCGCCCGCCGGCAAAAACAAATAAATGCGCGCCTTTGGACGCAAAGAGCTCAACACTTATACATGGTATTTCCTCCCGCGACCTGCGAAAAAAAGATGAGCTTTTTGCTTTTTATATGTGCAGCTATTTTTACGAGAGAAGAGCGTCCTGTGTCGGTTCCATTCATCCTCCGCTGCATCCTCTCTCGTTTTTTTTTATTGCGGAATTTTGTTTATATTGTTAGGTGCGAAATGAGCATTGGCCACGCATAATTTGCTTATTCATACAGTCGGCGGCTCGCCTGCTGGCACGGCTAGCGGACTTTGTGAAGGACGACGTGTTTTGGAACAAAATGATTCGCTCGCTATTCGCCTTGGTGCTCGCGAAAATCTTCATTTATATTGAAGGCAGGAGACTCGTTTAAAAGGCTTAAGTGCTGAAAAGGAAGAAAATATCTTCAAGAAGAAGAGGCACTCATCAAGAACGAACCGACTTATCCTCTCGTCAAATTTTTTATTTTTATAGAAAAAGCAAACGACTTTATTCCAGCTTATTTTTTTATGTAACTGATAAAGCCATTTGCTTTTTTTTTAAATTTAGAGAATTAAACCTGATTTTCCCACTACTTATTTCAATTAAAATAAAATATAAAAATTAAATTATAAAGTAATTTTAATTTTATATATATAGAAATTTATTAAACACAAAATGTGTACAACTTTTCAACGTAAATTAGTTATTTATAATTCATTCTCGCAGCTTCAGACAAGCTTAAATTATTTTTACAGCATTCACTAAAATGATACAAGTTAATTTTACTCCCACATTTTTCACATTCGCAATCATTATTTACAAATTTTAATTTTGATCAAACTTCTGCCCAGACGTTGACGAAATTTGAACGTTACAATTGTGTTTTGCTTAAAGATACAATTTAATCTAATCATGGCGACGTGGCGAGATAAACTCTTATGTTGTCCCAATCAGTTAATTGAATCTGTCGTTCTGCTTTAATTGCAAATAAATAATAATCAAATCAACAATGAAATTTTATATCAGTTACATTTTGTCCCAATCTAGATACTAAAATTGAAGGACGTTGAGGATGAAATAGTACCTTTAAAGATTTTGATCATCATTATTATCTGTGAGATAATTTGGACCAACTTGAAAGCAACTGAATTCGTCCAACTAAAAAGAGGATAATTTTAGCTGGCTGGGAATAAAAATCGCAGTCGGACTTTATCTAACAAAACTTTACTTTTATGACGTCTATAAAGCCATAAAACCAATCAAAGGGAAAGCATTCCTCAAGAAAGTAGTTTATGCTTATCGCCCTTTTAACCCATCTCCCAAATGCAGCTCTTCACCGAACGACCCATAGTATAATTTAATTAGCTGATAATTACTTTCACTTCTACTTATGCAACGAGTTTTATCGCATCGTGAAAGAATACGTGCTTTTGCCGATCTGCGTTCACGCTCAAGAGTCGAAAGAGAAGCGGCACGTGCAGGAAAGCAATTTTCTTTCTTCCTTTCTTTCTTTCGTTCGATGCAGGCCGTTGATATTTTTGTCCAATCCATGGCACCTCGACTCACCGATACATATTACGGCGCCTATCGTGTGTGTATTTTTAGAGCAGCGGCCGCTACTTTTGTGTTTTGTGAGAGGGCTAGAGGCGCCCATTCACTCTTTCAGCCCGAAAACGCGGCAGATTCATTAATT